GGAGGCGGAGAGACTTCCTCCGCACCGTCCGTACGACTGCGCTATTGACTTGATCCCGGGCACCCCGATTCCGCGTGGGCGACTGTATTCTCTCTCGGAACCAGAGCTGGCGGCTCTCCGGGATTTCCTGGATACTAACCTACGCAAGGGGTTCATTCGTCCCTCGCAGTCGCCGGCTGGGGCCCCAGTTTTGTTTGTCAAGAAAAAGTCAGGGGAGTTGCGACTCTGCAATGACTATCGGGCGTTGAACAACATCACGATCAAGAACCGTTATCCGCTTCCCCTCATCCCGGAGCTTCTCGACCGTTTGCGAGGGGCCCGGATTTTCACCAAATTGGACCTCAGGGGGGCCTATAACTTGGTGCGTATCCGGGAAGGGGACGAGTGGAAGACAGCCTTCCAGACCCGCTTTGGGAGCTTCGAATACAGAGTCATGAGTTTCGGGCTCTGTAACGCTCCGGCCACGTTCCAGCACTTCGTCAACGACATCTTTCGCGACTTTTTGGACCGTTTTTTGGTCATTTACCTAGACGACTTCCTGATCTACTCCACGAATCCACGTGACCACGCGCAACAGGTGCGCGCAGTGCTCCAGCGCCTGAGGGATCATGGACTTTACGCTAAGCTGGAAAAGTGTGCCTTCGATCTAGATGAAGTAGACTTTCTGGGACACCGCATCTCTGCGAAGGGAATTTCCATGGACCCCACTAAAGTCTCCGCGGTGTTAGAATGGAAGTCCCCCATGAGCAGAAAGGACATCCAAAGATTCATGGGGTTTGCCAATTACTATCGCAAGTTCATCCCAGACTTTGCCCGCTGGGCGGACCCCATTACCCAATGCCTGAGAGGCAAACGGCCGTTTCTATGGACTGAGGCGGCTGAAAAAGGCTTTCAGCAGCTCAAGAAGCTTTTCACTTCCCAGCCTATCCTGCAACATCCTGATCCAACCAAGCTATTTGTGGTGCAGGCCGACGCGTCGGATGTGGCGGTCGGGGCAGTGTTGCTACAACCTGCGGGGGATCATCTCCAACCCTGTGCATACTTTTCTCGACAGTTGACTGCCCCAGAACGGAACTACACCATTTGGGAAAAAGAACTCCTAGCCATCAAGTCGGCGTTTGAGACTTGGAGACATTGGCTAGAGGGTGCTCTGCAACCAGTGGAAGTCCATACGGATCATCGCAATCTGGAATATCTCCGTACCTCCCGGAAGTTAAACCAACGACAGCAGCGTTGGGCGTTGTTTTTTGAGAGATTCAACTTCCGAATTTGCTACGTGCCAGCGGCCCAAAACAAACAAGCAGATGCTTTGTCGCGCAAGCCGGAGTATACTCGGGGCCAGGAAGATTCCGCTGAGTCCTGCATTTTGCGTCCAGAAAACTTTGCGTCCACCGGCGCAACAGGACCCCCTTCGACTCTGGCTGAAAGGATCCGGGCGCGGCAGCAAGAGGACTTGTGGGTGCAAGAGCAGCTGGAGGCCGGACTAAAATTCCCATTTCAGGAGTTAGATGGGATGCTGTGTCATCGTTCAAAGGTTTATGTGCCGCCCGGCCCCGAGCGGGAGGAAATTTTAAGACTATGCCATGACACCAAGCCAGCGGGGCATTTTGGGATCTTTAAAACAATGCAGCTGGTGCTGAGGGACTTTTGGTGGCCCAAGATCCGACGAGAGGTCGAGAAATATGTCAATGGGTGCCCTGTTTGCCACCGCGCCAAGAACTCTACGGGCAAACCGGCTGGTTTGCTACAACCTCTACCCACTCCGAGTCGGCCCTGGGAAATCGTGTCGGCCGACTTCATCACGGATTTACCGGAATCTCAAGGGTTCACCACCATTTTGGTAGTGGTGGATCTTTTCACCAAGATGGGACATTTCATTCCCTGTGGGGGAGTGCCTACTGCCAAAGAAACTGCTGACCTATTCCTAAGCCACATTTTCCGTCTTCATGGACTTCCAACGAGTTTGGTGACCGATCGCGGTGCCCAATTTACCTCGCACTTTTGGAAGGAGATACAGCGGCAGTTGGGCATCGAGAGTCGGATGTCGTCAGCGCACCATCCACAATCCGATGGCCAGACCGAGAAGACCAACGCCACCCTTGAACAATATTTGAGATGTTTTGTAAACTATCAACAGGACAATTGGTCATCGCTTCTTGCTGTAGCTGAGTTTGCTTATAACAACGCTACTCACGGATCGACCAAAGAAGCCCCGTTCTTTGCTAACTATGGATATCACCCCCGGTTCTTTCCCTCCGTGGTTGGTTCAGGGGAGGTCCCGGCTGCTACCACTTGGCTGCAGGAGCTCTCAGCGATTCAAGAGATTTTAAAGGCTCAGCTTGAGCAGGCAAAAGAGGATTACAAACGAGTGGCTGATACCCATCGACAGCCGGGTCCACCGATCCAAGTGGGAGATCGTGTTTGGTTGTCCACTAAACACCTGCCTATACAACGCCCCTCTCGAAAGCTTGACGCTCGTTTTGTGGGGCCATATCCAGTGGTGGACCAATTAAATCCTGTGACCTTTAAGCTAAAGCTTCCGTGCGGCATGCGGATTCATCCTGTTTTTCATCGATCTTTGCTTCGACCCGCCACGGAAGTCCGGCCTGATGCTGGCGGGGCCCCTCCGCCACCCCCGATTCTGCGTGATGGAGAGGAGGAATTCGAAGTGGCGGACATTTTGGACTCTCGCCGTTATCACCGCAAGTTACAATACTTGGTGGACTGGGTGGGATATGGTCCTGAGGAGCGCTGTTGGATAGATGCTCGAGATGTCCATGCTCCTCTCCTAGTGTCCCGCTTTCACCGGGCCTACCCGGCCAAGCCCGGTCCGGGGGGGGCCAAGGGGGGGGCTTGGGGGGGATAGTGTTGTGGTTCAGCAGCAACAGCATGATGGGACTGAGGGTGCAGATGAGCATGATGGGAATGGGAATACAGATGCAGGTGTGGGATTTCAGATTTCTCAGTTTTCTCAGCCACAGTCTGTAGCTAGAGAGAAACCATTGTTATCACAGGAACGGAATGTGGCTGATAAAACAGCTGGTGAAGGTCAGACTGTGCCGCAGGTGTTAAGAAGGAGTTTACGAATTGCGGCCAAGTCTTGAGCCCATCCGTTGGTGGGAAAACTGCTTGTTAGCTGTCTGTTTAATGTTCAATGTTTTGATGTTTTACCTATAAGTAAACTGCCTGGGAGCTGATTCGGCGTCAGTTCCAACGTTGCAAAATGGCTCGCTTTGTCTCCTGCTCTGGGGCTTGGGCCTTGGGGAAGAAAGCTTGCTTCATGTAACCTCATGCTATTTCCTGGATTTTATGCTGCTTCTTGCTTCAAGTTTCCTGCTTTGACTCAAAGGGAATCTATTGGATTTTTACCTTGTACTATGGACTTTTTACTGCTTATATTCTGATTTGTTTGAAACTTCACAATAAACTTCTTTCTTCATAAGTTTGGCTGGTTTGTCAGAGAGAGCAAGGTGAATTTTAGCCTGAGATACAACATTAAGAGCCCCTAGTGTATTCTAAAATATATGTAGTTTAGGAGGGAAGGGAGTATTCTGAGATGTTTGTGAGAAAGGTGGGATGCACTGAAAAAGCATGCATGAGTTTTGTGTATTCCTCTCTTTCCCTAGCTCTGCTTCAAAGGGGTTCACGAGGCTCTAAAGCACATTTTTAGCATCCTCAAGAGGTGAAAGAAAATTTGGCAAAAAATCAGTGCCTCAGTCTCTTCCTCTGCTGTAAGCACAACTCCAGATGCAATCCACATTTTTATTAGGAGTCCATTGTTTCCATCAAACAGTAAATTACATTTTCTTCAAGGTATATTTTCTTGTGTTGAATGGATAACATGTTCCTTTATGACTAAATGTTTCTTTATCACCTACAGATCGTGTGTTAGTTCGAGTGAAGGATTTGACAGGAGAAAAAGCTGATGAAGTTGTCTGGGTTCGAGGTAGAGTCCATACCAGCAGAGCGAAAGGTAAAAACGTTTCTTTTTAAGATAGTCTTTGAATGTGTCTGTACTAATTGTCTTTTACACATTTTATTACGAATCAAGAAGGTCGGCATTTTTTCCCTTTTTCTAGAACATTCTTGTGCTCCTCCTAATAAGGGCACAACAATTTAAAATAACAAGAAGGATTTTTAAATAACTTGCTTTTTCAAGCATTGGATCTATGAAAATCCACTTATGGGAAGGGCTCAAGTTACTTGTTGACGTAACAACCTAGCAAGAAGGTTAGGTGAAGGGAGAAGTCTCAAGGAATAATTTGTGGGCCTCCCCCTCACTAAATGTTCCAGTATAGCACTTGCAATAGTAACCTGAATAAACTTTGGGTTGATAGCCCCAACGACTATTTCAAAGAACGGTCTTGAATTGGCATTTCCTATAGAGGTGCAGTAGGTTTATGATGCTTGCTTTCAAGTTTTCATGCTGTTGAGAAGATGTCTTAATTTCTTGCTTTTGTCTCCTGCATTCAAACACAGTCACATACACACACATCACTGATTCTGTTTCAACCTACCCTCTCCAGTTCAAATGGAATTATATTCACGACTAGACAAGACACTGTTTGCCACAGATGTAATATTTAAAACCCTCATGTCTCTCTTTCATCAGTGGCATGGGATGTAAATTATTTGCTTTATGTTTTAAATTTTATGATATATATATATATATATATATATATATATATATATATATATATTTGTTAAATTTCTAAAATGTAGATTTCAAATGTGTTGGGTTTTCACCCCTGTAAACAAAGTTAGTTTTTCATGAGAATTAAATAACTAGATACCCTTTTTAAATGACTTCAAATAAATTCAGCATTATGTAGACGTAAAATTTTAAACCACAGGAGAAATGTCAGTCATCATGTAGGCTAAAATTTCTCTTTCCAGATGGTAAATTGGAATATAGTTTGTCTTACATTCTGCCTTCTAAGGGAAATTGGAAACCTGAAACAAATCAGGCTTTCATGTGGCCACAAATGAAACATTTTAGGTCATAATTTTTAAGGAAAAATCCATTCTTACTGTGACCTCAAATGAAATTCTTATCTAAGCTTAAGCACTGTGGGGTATCCTGTTCATATAGAACCACCTGCCCATCATTTTTCTTCCCTGTAGAAGGGCAAAGTTGGAGATGTGTAGGTTTGGGGTGGGGTTGCGGGTGGGTAATCTCAATTTCCAGTTCACACGCTTAAATATGTTTTTGTTGTCTTTAAATGATGTCGGATAGACAGCTGTTCTGTGGATCTGAACCTTGCAGGCTCATGGGCAGAGCACATAAAGAAAGATCATGCAGAGGTTAGACCTGTTTGAACTTTTCATTGGTGATAGAGTGAGTCTAGGTGGAATCACAATAGGGAGAGGAGTTGTGCCTTCGGGCTCTATAGTAAAATATAGTATCGTAAATGCATTTCAAATGGTGGTGAAATACACATGTTTGCCTGTTACTCCACTGAGTTAGAATTATAAATATGGACATTGTATTTTAGGAATCCTGGTCCCAGTCCTTCAAAGACTTTGAAACAGAGGTAGGCACCATATGGTCCAAAGGCTGCATGCAGCCCCAGGGCCCCCCAGATGTTAAAAAAAAGGGTACATGTTTTGTTTCCAAATACTTCAAAATGACCTCTAGGCCTTTACATCATGTTTGTAGCCCCAGTGGCTACTCTAAAAAAATGTATTTTTCTCAAATCAAATTTGGCCTAAAAGCCCCAGTAGGAGGTATTCCCATCAGGTTTTCTTCCTCCTTCCCCCCCCCCCAAAAAAAACTGGCCAATTTGTACCCATGGAAGGACTTTTCCTCTAAATAAGTGGCTCATCTTCACTTTCTGTTGTTTAAAAGAGGTTTGCCCAACTTAAGATGGCTCTGGAATGTTCAAAACCACAGTGAGAATGCTCCCAGGAGGTTATTTGGAGGCTTATTTTTGATACAGATGCGGTGGAAGACCCTACAAATCTTCTTGCAGGCTAATATGCCACAGTGTAGTCTGCAACAAATATAGCAGATAATATATTCTTCCAAATTGTCCTTTCCACATTCAGCAGACAACAGCCTTCTTTGTGACCCTTGTGATAGAGTAGGTCAGGCAAAACCTCAACTGTCTAACTGTATCAAACTCAAAGGAATGTACAATAGACTCTCAGTTAACCAAAACTCAAGCAACAAGAACTCTCCAGCAATTGGCAAAAATTTGAAAAAATAATACTTTAAATAAAAATTTAAATGCACGTGTAATACAGTAAAACTACTACAATTGTCTTAATATGTTTTTAATTAATATATTTCATTATATCAAGTCAATGTATAGTTTCTGGTATGGTACAGTATGCGGTGGAGTAGTAGTTAGGCCTCTTTTTAACTGTAGCTATATCAAGCATTGAAACTATATTGATCTGGTATTTTCCAATCCCCATTGGTGAGTCTGTATTGTTCTTCCATTGCTCTAAGTGTGTTTTATTCATGGGAAGCACCATCACCAATCTTAGAACTTAGGCTGAGCATGTGGTCAGTTCTCATTTCTGGTAAGTACTCATGGAGATTTGTAGAATTTTCTAAGTTTTCCTTAAAAATTACATGAAAATATCTTGGGGAGTTTTAGTAATTTGCATTCAAAACAGCATGGGTTGTCTTTGGCTGCTCATAGCAGGTATTCCAGGCAGAAATCAGAGACCAAAGCCATCTGTTTTAAAGTTAGGTTCTGGAAGGTATAAGTTGAGCATGCATACAAATCAGAAAGAAGGAAAAAAAGTAAGCGGAGATTAAAGCATAGACTGGATCCTAGGAAACTGCTGCTAGAAATTTCTTGCTTTTCTGATCTGTATTAAATGATATTCCTGCATGCTTTACCTCATTCCTCTGATGGAGATGATAGGCTGTTAGAGAATTGTTTGAAAGAGGGAATTTTGAAAGACGGAATAAAGAAAACTCTGAGGATGGAGTAGGCAGGAGCCAAAGGTATATAAGCACCATGGTGTGATTTGGTTTGAGCTGGTGCTAGCTTTCTTCATTTCAAAATTTCAGTTTCTACAGAAGAAAAAAAAGTGGTTTGCCAGTGAATTGACATTCCTGTGTGAAGTTTTAGTCTCATAGTGTGCAGTGGATCGTATACCGTTGTGACATTGTGCAATTCCACCTTGTGGTAGTCATTAATGTGGAAGACAATACTAATGTCTAGGACTGTTTTTATTTACTTATATTCATTCTACAGCTAAAGAATGAAGGGGTGCAAAATGTGTGTTTGGCCATCTAAGAAACTGCCTTTGCCACTAATTTGCATTGTGTCTAGTTTGCCAGCAGCTGCATCATACTAGTACTTGTGTAGCCAAGTACTTTTTTCAAAACACATGAAGGCGAATCTGTTGATTTTTGGTAAAATATATATATATATATAAGAAATTATAGTTTGCCTTCAATATTCTAGTCAGCGTAATATTTATATAAATTGTGGATAAAATAGATAAGTGAATCTGGATTGTTGTGAATTTTCCGGGCTATATGACCATGTTCCAGAAGTATTCTCTCCTGACATTTCACTGCATCTGTGGCAGGCATCCTCAGAGGTTGTGAGGTCTGCTGGAAACTAGAGAAATGGGGAGGAGTGAAGCTTATATGGGCACACTTTAATGCCATTGTGAGAATCATGTCCTCCTCTGTCCCACTAAAAAGTAGCATGAAGATCCATTCACTGAAATTATTGGGGGACATCTTGTTAGTAAGAATCACACACCATATCTTTTGTAAGTTACAGAAAGGAAAAGTACTTCTTTCTGTAGATTGTATAATGGGTACTACTAGTAAATAGGTCTGCTATAGGCCATTAGCTATGGTTATTCCCATGCATTCTCTGGATTCAGTGGAAGCTGTATGTCATATACTCATTTACCACAAGTGAACAAGGACTGTTGACTTTAGAAAGTAACCATGGCTTTCTACAAGCATATAACTATTGCTATTGTAAACAAAATATTGGGCTAGATTGGCTAGAATAAACCTTCAGGTTTGGCCTGCAATTTTGTCCCTTTTTAATTTTATATTTTAGTGCCGTTTTGATCTAAACAAACTTTTGTAATGTGTTTCCGTGATAGGGGGAAAATCTGTTTAATGTTAGTCACAGTATTCACCCAAATATTTACCCAGTTGAAATCAAAGTGATCTAACTCGAAAGTGAAATTCAGACTGCTTTGATGCTGCCCGTTGGTAGCCCTGGTTTGTTTTTCGACAGAAACTTGCCCATTAACTTATTGTGTCAATTAAATGTTATGAGTCAACTCTGTCAAAAGTTACATGTGTATTTTTGCAGAACTGCATAAGTTCCTATGAAGAACAACATAACACTCAAAAGTGTGGAATTATTGTAATTGCTGTGATTTTTTAAAGTAGAGCAGCAGTTGCTTCATGGACTAATCTGATTGGATTCAAATACTTAGTGTGTTTTAGTGAAAAGTCAAAATTGTTATTTTACACATATTTACCTGAGAGTAAATGTGAGCTCAGAACTTGAATTCAGAATTATTGTCATCTTAGTGGACGTGGTAATGATTTTGGATCAACACTCCCAGTTGAACTCAAAAACAAATAGGCAGTTGATGGATTGATACAGAACAGTTGATAATCCTAATAATGTGTCCAAACTGTCACCTGTAGTGGTGAGATCAAGTATTTATTTATTTATTTAGCAGTTTTGTATACTGGTCTTCTCACCTCCATTCGAGGGACTCAGGCCGGTTTCCAACATCAATATTACAGACAGTCATTAAAAGTACAAGTACATGAAGTAATTGATGTGCCTTAGCTTTTCTTGCAGCTGTCTTTTTCCTTATATTCCTAAGATTTGGGTGGGGGGGGGGGGTATGTGGACAAAATGTCTGCAAAATTTGCTTCTGAGTCATGGACTGGAAATTTTGGCTTCTTTCATATTTCAAAACTAAGTATTACTTTGATTTTTTTTTCTTCAAATAGAAATTTAATAAGTAAAAAGACATCAATTTACCACTTTCAGTTAATATTTGGAGCATCTTCTCAAACATTTTTAAAGTTATAAAATGAAGGGTAGTTCCCATTGCTATATTTCAGGAGTCATAAATGCATAGGAACCAAGGCATCCCTGATGGGATTTGAGAGCAATGAGGAAAGACAGGTAGACACGGTTGCATGAAATGTACTTCAACCAAAGCTGTTCTCATTGGCTTTAATATTTCCTGTTTTCTCTTGTTAAAATGTTTAATATGTTTTTAGCTTTTTAAAAACCTTTTTGTACACTCGTTTAAATTAGATTAGTTTTTTTATATGCCACCTTGAGATCTTAGGAGGTATACATTTTAATTAAAGAAAGAACCATTGTAGATTGTAGCAAGCGACTCTGGCGCCCCATTTACACTGCCATATAAGGCATTTTCAGCATGCAGATTAACTGTTTTGAACTGGATTATATGAGTCTACACTGCCATATAATTCAGTTCAATTCAGTTAACCTGCATTCTAAAATTGCATTAAATGGCAGTGTAGATTCAGCCTGGGTTTCTGTGGAAATGAGAAATGGAAATATGATCAGGAATAATTTTGGAGATGGCAGTGGATCCCAGTAATAAAACTTACTTGACAGTGGTCTTGATGGCTCCCTATTACAAAGTGTCACCATGCACTATCTAGCAATAGGTACATGTCATCTAATATAGATTCCATAGAATATGCACTTTTGCCCCAATATTCTAGGGACTCTATATTAGATGAAGTACATGGCTGTTAGTCACAGAGGTATTCCCTACCCTTCCATTCTGTAGAAGCTTCATGAAATGTTCAGCAGCTTATCAGACTCATTGATAGGGGCCTAAACACTTTTTGAAGTAGGTCTGAAGCCTCAGGATTGACATATTTAACTTTGAACCCAGGTTGTGTTGAATTCCAGGATGGCCTGCTTGTCTTTTTTTCCGTGTCAGGAATTATTTGAGGAACTGTAAGTTGCTTCTGGTGTGAGAGAATTGGCCATCTGCAAGGACGTTGCCCATGGGACACCCAGCTGTTTTACCATTGTGTGGGAGGCTTCTCTCATGTCCTGCATGAGAAGCTGGAGTTGACAGACAGGAGTTCATCCTGCTCCCCGGATTCGAACTGCCAACCTTTCAGTCAACAGTCCTCCTGGCACAAGGATTTAACCCACTGCGCCAAAAGGGGCTCCTGTGTGTCTGAAGTGCAGATACTTGCCTTGAATTCATACCTTACTCATCTTAATCAGTTAGCATTAGTGCAATTTATAGATCACTGCTTACACAAACTTGACTTGTTATTGTGTTTTTTCTCAGACAGTTGCATGTTCCATTTACCTGAAATTTCTTTTTAAAGTGATAATTTTGTTTTTAAAGTAATTTAAATTGAACACAGATCAAAAAGAAAATATCGTTGTAGTCTGAATGGGGTAACAAAAAAGATACATATGTCTGCCTGGGCTAATGTACTTTGTGAGCATTTATAGCCTGGCTTAATTTAAAAGTAGTAGAACATATTTTTCCATTCATTGAGAAAGATCCCGAGTAACTTGTTGCCCTGAGTACACCTGCATTGTTCCTTCGTCTTTTCAGGAAAACAGTGTTTCTTAGTCCTACGTCAGCAGCAATTCAGTGTCCAAGCTCTGGTGGCTGTGGGAGACCATGCAAGTAAGCAGATGGTAAAGTTCGCTGCCAAGTAAGTAAGCAATTATATCCTGTTGTCACAGTAAACAATGGTGGGAACCAAGGCTCCCAGGGGTTGGGACCATTTTCACACATTAACATCAATGCTGCGTTTGTTTTTAAAATGTAGTTATTTAAGTTGTCAGTTCACTATAGCACTGAATGCCTTACACTTACAAAAGACAAAATGGAACACAGGCTTGAAAATCATTCTGAATTGCTGAGGGGGCATTCTGTCTCCCCAGACAGTTCCCATTTACTTTCAAGCCAGCTAACAAAAAGGTTGGCAGGCTGAGCTTGGAGGCTTTATTTTGCTGAAAGTTTGTGTGTGCATGTGAACACAGTGTCAGCCTTTCCCCCCTTAAGTATTGGATCTTCGCTGTGTAATGTATTCGGTCTCATCTAAATGCTAAGTGGAAATAAAAGGTATTTAGAAGTCCAGTATTGTAATTTTCTTTAAATAGGTTAAGAACCCAATTTGTGTTTTTTTTATCCTTTATTACACACACAAAAACTTATTTGTTTGTTTTTTTTTCCTTTCCCAAACTTTTTTTTACTACTAGGAACTCACTGTTTCTGTTTTAGCAAAACAAAAAAAAACAAAAAAAAACCATTGCAGTCAAGACCTTTGAAATTTGGATCTGACAAGTGCCTGTATTACCAAAGCAATCTGGAAATGAAAGCACCAGGCACTTGTCAGATCCAAATTTTTACTCCACTCTATCTTAACCCCGAAGGGGACTCTAGAGTGGCTTTCAAACTGCCAATAATTAAATGCTGCATTTTGACATTAAAACATGCAAAATACATTGTTCAGTAAAATCATAAAACAGTAACATGTAAAGATAAAGGTTTCCCCTTGACATTACGTCCAGTTATGTCTGGGGAGTGGTGCTCATCTCCATTCCTAAGCTGAATAGCCAACATTGTCTGTAGACGCCTCCAAGGTCATGTGGCTGGCATGACTGCATGGAGCCCCACTACCTTCCCGCTGGAAGGGTACTGATTGATCTACTCACATTTGCATGTTTTCAAACTGCTATGTTGGCAGAAGCTGGGGCTACCAATGGGAGCTCACCCTGCTCCCTGGATTGTAATCACCAGACTTTCAGTCAACAAGTTCAGCAGTCTAGCCCGCTGTGCCACAGGGGCCTCCACAGTAACATATACATACATTTAAATAAGCAGTTAAAGACATAGCACATAATCCCAAAATCATAGACCAAAAGCTATTCCAAGCACATTAACTTCGTAGCTGCTGTTGCACCATAACAACTCTCCAAACGCTTGGTTCCATAGCCAAGTTTTTACTTTCTTTCTAAAGGACAGGAGGGAGGGAGGGAGTTCCACAGCTGTAATGCCACTAGGAAGGGAGTTCCACAGCTGTGGCTGGTGCAATCTTTGGATACAAAATCCATGGACACCAAGGGCCAGTTTTACTTCTTCTCTCTCTCTCTCTCTCTCTCTCTCTCGTGGCTGAGGAATGGATTATCACTCTGTCTTACATGAACACTGCACCTGTAGACAGCATAAAAGCTTTGGAAAAAGAGAAGCTGCTTTCTTAAACTTTTCTAATGAGACATTCTAAACTGTTCTTGCAAATTACCTTTAACATCACAGAGCAGTCAGTATAAAGGGTTGGTTTATGATGGCAACCTTTGTAGAAATGGTATATAGGATATAAGGAATGTATGAAGTGGGCTGATTTTTCTTTAATGGCTTTGAGATTCAGCTTTGTTTCAATTCTTAAAGAGCCTCAGTGGATGAAATTGGTGTTTTTCCTCATTTGGTCTCCCTAGATGGTGCCCTCACTGCTTTGGCTTCAGCTGTGTCATGAGTCCTTAGTTGACCTTTCCTAATGGCTACAGCTCCTCTGTTCAACTTTTTATGATCATTTGCTGTGCACCAGGAATTTTCTATTGTAGCTTCTGTTAATGCCTTTATACTATGGCTTTTTTTAACAGAGCCCTGTATTCCGCTTCTAATCATCAATTTGTCATCTGTGTGTCTCTTAGTCAAGTTCCCTAGACAACTTGTTCAGCTGCTCAATTGTTTACTTAAAACACCTAAATTTAGAGCACACTCAATTTGTGCAAAAACATTTTTTCAAACAAACATGCAACGATTTCCTGTCAATCTTGAAACCAAAATGACACTTTATTGACTTTTAAAAGTGTTCTTTCTGCTGAAAGTATCCATTGTGAACTTCCTACAGTCCTCTTCAAATCAGTTGATAACTGTATTGGTCTATTAAAAGAAAAGCCCCAAACTATAGGACAGCAATTACTTTATCAGCACCACCCAAGAGGAAGCAAATATAGCCATCTGTGAATTGAACCTGCAGAAAAAAGGAGCTAAAGCTGTATCTAAAACGTGTACTGAAAGGCAAAGGTATCTGGTGTTTCTTCCAAGAGAGTTCCATGCTTTTTATGGAACAGTTTTGAACATCTGCTATTATAAGAGAGGCATCCATGATTTAAGGAAGGAATTCAAGAGCACTGGAGATCATAATTCTCCATGTGTTATGTGTACAAACTTCCCTTTTTCTCAGTATTAGCTCATAGTGTAGACCTTTCATGCCTTTCCAGGTAGTTACACATTATTTTGTTTAACTGAAAATGTTTCTGATTTCTTGTGGAAGGTAATGATTTCTTTTCCATCTTCCTTTTTATATGCAATATAGTTGGATTTGGTTTTGGTTTAATTGTAATTGTTTTACATTTTTGGAGTCTATAGATATTCAGTATCTGGTTCATAATAGTGAACTGTTCATATATTTACATGAACATGATCAGGAAAAATACAAAATGGCACATTTCAAGACTAGTAAATAGTACACTTCAAATGTCCAGGGTGCTAAATGGAAAATTTTTAAGGCTATTCGTTGCTCTGGTTCAGACATAACACTCACTGTTTTGTTAAAGCCTTAAATAATGGAGTCACTCTTCCTTGTATCATAGCTGCATTGGGCTGTCTTGGCTAACATAGAACCTTTTTCCCGATATGTCTGAAATAGTGGCCCTGTGGCTTAAGGTAAATTTACCAGCTAAAACCACAGTTAAATAATTCGTTGAGTTCCTGGTTAGTAACCAACCATTAAATCCCAAACTCTAACCCTTCAGATATTTTGGACTTCAACTCCCAGAACCCTCAGTTTCCTTGGACTAGTGTTTCTCAAGCTATGCTTCTCCAGGTGTTTTGAACTTCCACTCCCAGAAATCCCAGCTAGAATACCAGGAATTGTGGAAGCTGAAGTCCAGTACAGTTCGAGAAACTCTACCTTGGACAATTATTAGGGATTCTGGGAGCTGAAGTCTAGATTTTGGGAAACAAATAGTTCATTTCTTTGTAACAAAGAATTGTCCCTTAAGATAAACATTACTGGCATCTGATGCTGATAAATAAAGAGAAGACAGGAGGAGAGTGCCTTGAGTCAAATACTTGTTCCTGGTCTGAAAATTGTGGTTTAGGGAGGCAGGAATATAATGTACAAAGGGACCTGCTATCGCCTGCTATTGTTTTAGAGAAAGTCTCCCAGCAAAAACCTATCAGTCAAGATGATCAGAGCCCATCATGGAATGAACTGATTCTCTTCCCTTCCCTGTCTTTTCACTGGCACAGGGTAAAATGTTCAAGGATTAACCCAGCCTTTCTTAGAGGTGACACCAATCGATTGCTGTCTTTGTTAGCCTTGATCCTGCTGAATTACAATAAATAAGATATTGAGCCAGTTCTAGGGAAAGGAACATGAAGATTGTCAATCATCGCTTGACTGGAAGGATTGCTCTCAAATAGTGCGAGGAGAAGAACATGTTGATTTAGCAGGGAATAATTTTCATGCAATTTTTGTTTGTTTTGACTTAAACATTTACGGAGACAAGTTAGTAGACCTCATACAATGTCAAAACCCATATGAAGCTGCCACTTGGCACTTTGTGAATTGATGGCAGTTAGTTTTATCTACTGTTGTTTTATATTTGTATTATTTTGATTTTATGCTACATGTGTTGATGGAGGTTGTTGTTCTAATTTTATGTTATTTGTTTTATACTTTTGTACCACCCCAAGTCCCTTCGGGGAGATAGTGGCGGGATATAAATAAAGATCATCATTATAATCTTATATTATTATAAATGAGCCCCCGGTGGCGCAGTGGGTTAAACCCCTGTGCCGGCAGGACTGAAGAATGACAGGTTGCAGGGAGAGTGCGAATGAGCACCCTCTATTAGCTCCAGCTCCCCATGCGAGGACATGAGAGAAGCCTTCCACAAGGATGATAGCACATCAAAACATCCAGGCGTCCCCAGGGCAACGTCCTTGCAGATGGTCAATTCTCTCACACCAGAAGCAACTTGCAGTTTCTCAAGTCACTCCTGACATGACAAAAAAAAGATTGTTGTTATTATTATTGAGTAATATATAGTGAACATTCTGTCAATACAACAATTTAGACATAGCATGATATCCTTCCTAACTCTTAATTACATATTAAACTCTAGACTCCAATAGCAAGAAACAGACTTAAGTAAAGCAAAAACTTGGCTGATTTGAACAAATAAGTCATGCCCGAATTTACACCTGGCATACCTTGGGGTTCTTATGTTACTGGATACATGGAACAGATTCATCTGAACAAAATGATTGTTTGTTAAATGTCAGATTTCAGACCTGTTGAAGAAATTAATCCATATAGTATAGCTTAATTCTGTCATCCAAGAACAAATTAGACAGGTGAAAATGACTTAAAACAAATGACTTAAAACTAGAGTCTATTTGTGATGTATTCCAGCCTTCACTCCTGTTGTCATTCAGCCCTATTTGATAAAGCAGATAAAAGGCCTTTGAGACCAGGAGATAATTATTTGTTGAACCAAGCTATGGAAACAGTGGAAGGTGGGTGGAACATATGTGGGTTAACTAAAGAAAAAGTGGTCCATGATCATTCTTCAGTACAGAAAGCTTGTGATCAAGAACCCCGCTGAAAGTGATTCATGATGAAGAAGGGGTTGTGGCTGTGCCTTAATGGACAACTTTGTTCCCGAAAGAGGTTTTCACTAGTGCAGCAAGAGGACAGTTATGTGATTAAAACAAAAAGTGTTGACTAATACTAAGATAACTGAATGAGGATATTTAAAAGTTAGAAACTAAATATTGTTTTCACTGGAAATGCAGGGTATCACATTTAAGTTGAAGACTGTTTACACATCAGTTTAAACCACATTGGTGTGAAAAAGCAACATTCTGATACACGCAGCCTGCTTCTGCTGTTCTCTTAGCGTAGACAGGGCAATGGGATCTCAGCACATAGTTTTAGTTAAGTGTGTGTATACACAAACAATCCAGGATTTGTAAACAAACAGCAAACTGTATTTTAAGGCAGTCTTACGATCCTGGCTTGTTTGATCCATAATCCTGGTTTCGGACAGTTCACAATATTTTTCTTCCCCTCTTTTGTATAGTCACATCTGTGAGAGGAGAAGCAAATTGGTCATTTCTTAAAATTGGACTATCAATCCGGGATTCCTGGATTGATCTCTTGGGAGGAGGGTGCCATAAAGCTTACTGTGATCTGATCAGAGCACACTTCGTCTGTATTCTACTCGGAGAAATGTGTCTGCCTACTTCCATTTACATTAAACAAGCCAAAACAATGTATGTCCACTTTTGATAACTGAGCGAGATAAAAGGCAAGCTTGTATTTTGCATGAAGTAAAATGCCAGACAGATATGAACTAACAGAAATGACATTTTACTATTTCCTACAAGGGGAAAGCTAAAGATAAATGATTTGAAACTTTCCATACCTTTGCCAAGCATTAATCAGAATGGAAACTGCAATAAAAAAAACACACAGGAAGACTAGGACTTGGAAAGGCAACATGAAGGAACCAAAAAAGATCCTGAAGCATTAAGAAATATTATTGAATACTAAAGTTATGATTGTCAGTGCCATCATATTTCCTTATCCATGTATAGTTCTGAAAGCTGGACACTGAAGAAAGTTGATGGAAGAAAATCGACTCATTTGAAATGTGATTCTATGTCACATTTAGCAAGGAGTTGTTACTGCATCCAAAGATGCAGAGTTTTGAAGTTCGGCACATTAGAGACACAGGGCTAAATCCTTGCCAAACTATGAAACTCAAGGTAGTTTTGAGCAGTTTGTACAAATGCAATATGCAGTGCTTTCTTCGTACATCTTCAGCCAGCAGTTGTGAGGGCAGATGGATAAGATTATAAAATGCCTTTTATATTGGAAAGGGCTGTACAGATGAAATATGCACAACAATTTTAGAAGCTAGCATTGATATTAAACCTTAATGCACTTGGTAACATTTTCCTTTAGTTCTTGTTTAAAATAGAGGTCCAGACTTTTTTTTGAGTGAAGAATGCTTTATGTACCTACTCAGAAGATAACTGATGAATGAATTATCATTTTTACTCAATGAAGTGCACCCCAAGCATATAACTTCATTCCTTTTCCATATTGAAGTACCAATAAAACCAAAATGTGCAATTTAAATTTCACATCTGATTTTGTCTTTATCTGCACTTTACTTTAGAGTGCATACTTTAATATACATTATTCTCTGCTAGAGTGGTTGCCTTACTCGTTTGCACATAGAATAATATTTCTGCTTGATGCTTTTCAAATAGGTGATCTAATGACTGAATCTAAAGTGCTGATTTGTGTGTGTGTGTGTGTGTGTGTGCGTCTCCTTATTTTCAGCAATCGGTCCTTTTTGTGCAAGACAGCTGAGAAATAACTTGATGAAGAACTTAGTCTGTTCTATTGTAGTGGCCCAACATTTATATTTTTAAAAACCTCATTTAACAATTACTTTCATAGCTGTCCAAACCTCAAATGAATATTCCACACTGACTATTTTTTTTATTGACAGCATCAACAAAGAAAGCATTGTTGACATTGAAGGTGTTGTAAGAAAAGTGCCACATAAGATTGGAGGCTGCACTCAGCAGGATGTTGAACTGCATGTTCAAAGGGTAATGTTATTTAAAGCAAATAGAAATGTGCATTGATCATTGTTTCATATTAACATTAGGCTTTACATGGATAGTCTCCATAGGTTCAGGCTTTCTTGGGACCCATCTACATGGGCCACAAAATCCAGGACTGGACTGGATTCTGCCATGGTGTTTACGCTAAATCTAGTTTGGCCTTGGTGGATAGTCATCCTTACTTTGTTGATATATGTTGCTACAGCAGCAGCCATGAAACTCCAAAGAGCTACTGATAATAATCTGATGCATTTGCCCATGTCAGCAAAAGTGTGGCACAACTTGAAAAAGTGATGGGGTAAGGAGGAAGATTCACCCTCCTTCTCTCCATATTGTATGAGCACCTTTACTGACATCAGCAAAGGTGCAGAGCAACAGCCAGGAGGTCTCTGAAGCTCCTTGGCTTCTGCTGCAGCAACAAAAACAATAAAGGAAAGTGGCATGCCCCTTCCCCCATTGCATGGAGTGTAGGGATAGCAGGATGACAGTGCTGGCCCATGTGAACAGAGGGACTGGTTTTGAATCAGAATGAGCACAGCTGTTCACACACACATATACCCCAGATAATACAGCTTCCATTTCCCAACTTTTCCTAACATGGGGTAAATTGAAATAACCTGTTTTGCCCCATATAATAAGTCTAGAATTTCCTTGGTGTCATCTGAACACCCAAGAGCAATTATGGTCAAATTCGGAACATGACACTAATGTAGATATTCCCTCAGTTAACTTTTGTAATAGCATGTAACAACAATAAAAATAATATGCAGCAAATGTATTTAAAATAGTACATAAGAGTACCCATGAAACTGCTCATGCATATAAAAAATCAGTTTCCAGCTGTATGAGTGGTACTACAATCCATGCAGTCCTGAAGCATTCCAGAAATGGATGCTTATTGTTTGCAACAAATGTTAAATTCAGTTACCTGCATGTGGACGAGAAAAATAAAGTCTGAGGATGCATGACATAAAAGATGGTAGGAGATGTTTGAGGTGATTTGACAACAAAATATGGAACAACCCATTAAAATGTGCTTGAACTATTGATAGAAAATCTTGTTTTTTCTCATGCATTCCACAGAATGTTCTTGTCTTATATTGTTTGCATTTGAATTTATGCATTCATTCTCTCATCTAAATTCACGAAAGTATAGTTATCCTATTCACGATAGCAAGCTACCTCTCTTTACTACTGTTACTGTTACTGTGTACAGAAATGTAGCACCATATATAGTTGTAGTATCTCTAAAGAATGAGGAGTTGAAGTAGCTATGATTAGATAATTATTTCAGGCCTGATTAAATTCATCCTGTATTATTTTCCTCCAGTAAAGGTAGAGGATGTTACTTAAAGCAGGAGTTTTTGACCAAGTATTTGTTGTATTACTACAGAAATAAAGGCAAAGAAATATATGAGTGTGACTTACTGTATAACCTTCCAGTGAATTATCATGCAAACACGGTTTCATTTCAGACAAAAATATAGCTTTGTGAATCACACAACAGTTTCTGTGCTGTTTTTACATTTTTTAAAAGAAAATGTCAATTTCAGATCTATGTAATCAGTTTGGCTGAACCCCGATTGCCCTTACAATTGGATGATGCTATTCGACCAGAAGTGGATGGAGAAGAGGTAAAATATATTATTTTTAACGTAACCAGTAGTGTGTATGAGTAGTCCAGCATATTTTAATAGCTGGTATTCCCCATTTTATTTTAAAGCCCTTGAATTTTGGCATCATTAAACATTGCTCACTCTCTTGTTTACACTCTTTCAGTACATAGATGGGGGAAATAGTTCTACTGCTAATAAATTGCTTAGGGTTCTTAGATAACAATGACTGTTACTTCAAGGTCGTACGCACTGATACTTCACTACCACATGTACAATATTTTTGATGGTTCTGATTTTTTTAATATGAGGAAATGATTTTTACAACCATCATTATGTCATCTTAATGAGGAAAGAGCTGGACAAGATTTAGATAAGATGTTCCAGTTTTCATTATTAGCATGTGAAGTGATTTTTTTTTCAATATAGTTATGCTGTTCCATGGTGCTTTGGAAAATGTCAGTGTCAGAAGGTCCTAAATTTCTTCTGTTTTTTACCTCTGTTTCTGAAAGCATAACCTAATTGTAACCTCAATTAAATTGGATATCCTAAATACATATGGTTTTAAGAGCAGGACCACAGTTTTGCAGCACTCTTCAAAGCCAAGAAAGAATTCAAGCCAGGAATAGGGATTTTTGAACTACAGATCTCATTATATTTCCTCAGTTGCTGTTGTGGTTGGGATTGAAATGCACTGCAGTCCAATGTAATGTGAAGAGCCACGTATTTCTCCTCTTGATCTAAACAAATAGTTTTGCCTTTCTACTTTGCAGACACATCTGTATTTGTGCTCTTTGCTAGGGTTGATTCAATACAATTTAATCCCATTGTCTTCCCAGAATTCAACCAGCTCTGGTCTCCCACCAATAGACAAGAATGATGATGGAACCAGCTTCTATCTGCTACTCCAATTGTTTACATCTTGCACTTCTGTTTTTGTACTTAATCTATAAACCAGGAGCGTAGGAAGCTCCTGTTAACGGTACCTTTTGTGAAGGCCCAATATGCTACACAGACCGCACAGCTGCTGTCTCTTCACATAGTCAGCTCACTTACATAAATATCCTTAGCAGGTGTCTGTGTCTCAGATACTGAGAATCTTTGGTGTGGGCAGCTTGTGACGTTTCCCTTAACTGTGCTACAAAGCCAAAGATTTCTTACACTATAAAACTTACGCATCTTACCCCCCCCCCATCCCCCACCCCTCTCTCAGTGCTTGTGGTTTCACTGTGTTTTCTATTTCAACTGTTCAGGAAGGAAGAGCTACTGTAAACCAGGATACAAGATTGGACAACAGAGTGATTGACTTAAGGGTAAGATGCCATTGTGTTTTCCCTGACATCAATCAAATGTTTAAGAGGCAGCAAGCAGACTGGTTGTAACCATTCAGAATTCTCAAGGATTTGTATTATCTGTTCACTAGAGCAGAAATCAATGGTTAGTGCTTTTAACGAAAACCTTTGACTACATAACACAAAACAGCAAGCTTTGGGGTTTGAAAAAGCTGTTTTTGATATATCTCAGAAGAAATGAATATTATGTTTGCTGTACACACCTGTGTGTGTTACACAGTGGCCTCTAATCATTTTCTTTGTTTAGAGCAGCCCTCAAAAATGTTGTAGTGTTTACTGCTTACATTCAGCCATTGCTCTCCTAAATCTACGGTTGCTTTGACACCATTTGCAATAAGCTGGGCTTTTTTGACCCTTGCTATTTGATCCTCATTGTAGAGTCACAATCCACAGTAACAAAATAGTGTTACTTCAGTGTGGCAAATAGTGAGAGTTCGCCCATTTGCCAGGAAAAAGAAAATCCTAAAACAGTTTAGGCCTGCATGCATTGTTCAGTTAACCTTAGTGGCTGAGGGTGTTTGGACTGCAAGATTGACTGAACACTAAAGTAAGCTCTGTTTTTTTTTCACAAACATGCAAGGATAGGAGGAATGTATTAATCCTGGTGACCCCTGCACACATTTCCTTAATCTTTCTGCTTTGAGAGGGCCACATGAGCACCCCAATTCCCTCAGTTCAGACTCCCTTTTAATTCCATAAATTGTGTTAGATTTTGATATAATCCTGTATATGGCTTTTGGCTTAGATTCTTGGGTTAATTGTCTTGTTGTCCTGGCAATGATGCACTTATTTTAAAGTTTTAGATCTGATGTGTTTGTGCAGGACTGTATGTCCCTCTTCTCTCGAGCTAGTCATTGGCCGTAATAAAATGAACTTGAACAGAAGAAGAAGCAGCCTCCTTTAAGCATAGAGACTCTCTAGGTCAGTGGTCCTCAACCTGTGGGTCCCCAAGTGTTTTGGCCTACAACTCCCAGAAATCCCAGCCTGTTTAGCAGCTGTTAGGATTTCTGGGAGTTGAAGGCCAAAACATCTGGGGACCTACAGGTTGAGAACCACTGCTCAGGTAATCCACAGTGATTCCCCTCATATATGTTTATTTCATAATGCCTGAACATAATGCATTTGTTATAGTCCAGGCTTTACGTCAGACAAGAGGCAAAAGGGAGACCCATGGAATTGAACATGAGTTTTCTGCCAAGTACAAATATCAAATACATAATGACTGTAATCGTTTGCACAGTTACCTGGGAGTAAAGTCCTTTGATTCTGGTAGATCTATATCATGAGTCAGTGAGTATATATATTTTTTGCAGGACCTAAATACCCTAAAAGTACTATATCCCACCTTTTTTTTATAAGTAAGATTTTATTTACATACAATAACAACTTACAGTGTAAACAAAACACAAAACAGTGAACATTTTACAAACATATAGCCCCACCACCAAGGCCTGAACAAGTATCCTTTCCTTCACCATGTATTTATAAATCAACCATTAATCAAATCTCATACCCAAAATTCCTGACCAACAAAATTCTGTTGTTTTCCATTTTCGCTCTCTAAGGCGTATTTAATAAAGACCGACCAGTATGCCTCAAAATCTGATCTGTCAATTTCCCCCCTGAATACCCTCATTTCCATTGTTAATTTATCATTTAAGGCTACGTTCCATACCTCCCTATACCATGCTTCCAGTGTTAGATTAGTTATTATTTTCCAGTTCTTTGCTATTATAATTCTTCCCACTGTGAGTAAAATAATCACCAATTCTTTCTTACTTGTTTCTAAATTCAGCTTCGTGGTGTCCATTAATAATGCTAACCTAGCATCCGACGTAATATTTGATCCTATAATGTTGTTTATCATGAGTCAGTGAGTATATTTTTTTTGCAGGACCTAAATACCCTAAAAGTACTATATCCCACCTGACCTTGAAAGCTAAGCAGTCAGCCCTGGTTAGTATTTGAATGGGAGACTGTCAACATATACTATGGGTACTCAGACCTATTTCCAAGAAAGGAACTGGCAAAACTACCTCGAAGTATTCCTTGCCTAAGAAAACTCTATGTAAGTCATAGGATTGCCATCAGTCGACCAGTGGCTTGAAGACACATACGTGCATATTGTGCTGTAAGTTATTTAACAGCATGTGCTTAGATGATAGTTTTCCATGTCTCATAATTTATTGCATAATCCTACACTCTATGCTAAAGCAAGTGAGAAAGCAAGTTTATTGAAGCTTTCTCACAACTATTTATCACTAATGTGGTGATTCAGTTAAAAAGAGTCAGTGTAGAGACGTGATTGTGTGCAGGTCTGCAGTTTTGCATACATGATGGGATAGCTGTGTTGTATGTTGTAGAAATATTGCATAAAACTAAGGAGAGTTATTTGAGGTGGGGTTTAAAAAAAATGTTATGCTCATGTGGTTGCTTCTCTGCCATGGCTGGATTCCCACCAGTGGTTTAGTACTTGAAAGATAAGAGAGAAGTTACTTCCGGTACTTAAACCACCTGGAGCTGTTTCTCTTGACAGTTTTTTTGTTTTGTTCTTTTTGCCAGCTATGATAAAGTCTTACGGAATTGTAGGGTTTGATGTGTTTCTTTTTGTGTGAGGGTATTTGGACAGAAAATAGAAGTACCCCTATTTCAAAGGGGGGGGGGGAATGCTATAGAAGCCAGGGACTTTCATCAGTTTAAAAAGATATGGGCCTTTTGTATTGGCATTTTGCAAAAAAAGATCCTACATCAAGTGAAATAATATCCTTTTTCAGGAAATCTCTGAAATAAATCCACCAAAGTACAGGAAAAATACTAAATGTTTATCAGGCCATATTTACTGATTTTTAAATAGACAAAACCATTAACTTCTCATCCTACCCTGACTCTCTCTCTCTCTCTCTCTCTCTCTCTCTCCCATTTTTTACTTGTTTGAGTGAACCTTGATGTGACGGCATGAGAACATACCAGGAACTAGTTCCTGTTTAGTTCAACTATGTGGTATCCCGTGCTTTGATTCAGGAACTTGGATTCAGTTTATGTCCCTTCATTAGTTCTTTCCCTGGTTCTCATACATTACCTTTACAGAACCATCCATTTAACTGTTAACTACTTCTAATATTCCAGAAGCTCAGTAACAAAGTAGATGTTGTTTAAACCTACTGTCTATCAAAGCATAAGTTAGACCTGGTATAGGCAAACATTGGCCCTCCAGGTGTTTTGGACTTCAGCTCCCACAATAGGAATGGTGGGAGTTGAAGTCCAAAACACCTGAAGGGCTGAAGTTTTCCCATGCCTGGGTTAGATACAAGGCGAGCAAGAATTTCCATTCTTGATTGAAACCGGAGGGGGAAAACAGTAACATTATTATGTCAGGGAGAAATCATTCCTTAAGTTGTATAGTATGACCAAAGAGAGAGAGAGAGAGAGAGAGAATTAAAACACTATAAAATCGGAAATGAACATTCGGTTTTCTGGACCTTTCTTACATGTATGCTTCTTCCTGAAAATATATATATATATATATATATATATATATATATATATATATATATATATATATATATATGCATGCGCTGCACATTGTATTTAGAATATCTTATAATAACCTTGACCTATTGGTAACCGCAACCTCTCTATTCTATTAAAATGGACATCCGTAGAATCCTGCTCACAGCATTTCCTCCAGCTGTAAATAGCATAAATATATGATAGAAAATAAAGGCAGTTACTGTTTCAAACCAAACAAGATTCTAACAGCCAGATTTTTTTATACAAGAATTCTTGAATCACTTTTCTAATCCAGATTCCTCAATCAGTTGTGATTAAGCTGTGTCCTTTAGCCATTACCTCATTTCTGATCTCTCAGAGATGAATTTAGATCTTTTAGTTAGAAAAATAATCATTACAGGCTACATTCCATAATCGCCTCTCAGTTTCTCAGATTTCATCACTGCCTCTCCTTTGGACATATGCTTTGCCTTGACTCTTAAGTTCTATGTCTGTAATTTTAAAATTCATTATACATTTTCCATCAGGCTGTCCTGGGATATCATCTCCATAATGTAAGAGAATAGTAGTGGCCTTGGGCACAAACAACGCCGATTCCAGTCCTCTTTGCCACAGAGCACATTGAGTAACCTTTAGCCATTCACTGCATCTCAGTCTATTTAGCATTATTCACAGAGTGATTGAGAGGATAAAATGATGGCTAGAAGGACTACTTAGGCTGCTCTTCCCTGCATTTATTGGAGGAGGAATGGTGAAAAAATTTTTCACAATATGTGAGAAAGTGAGTTTTTACCAGTAAAGATACATAATGGCTCATGTGTAGTGCTATGGATGAATGCTGTGGATGAGTAAACTCTTAAGCCTGTATGCTTAGCTTGTCAAATGTAGATTTCATCCCAAAGGAAATAAAGAGCTAACTGTTGAGTGCAAAAAATACCAGAATATTATAGGCTGTTTCTTTCTGCTGCAAAGGTCTGTATAATGGATGGCTAACTGTCTGTCTTGCACCACCAATGTATACCACCTGTCTAGTCAGGGTCATCAATTATTGTTCTTGATTTGGAAGTGTCATCTTCCTTAAAAATCATTGACATGTCTTCTGAAGAAATTCAGCAAATCCTGCTGATGGTGGTGGTTCTACTTCATTGCTTCTCTCAAGTACCTGTCGACTTATGGAGTACGAAACTGTTTTTCATGACAGAAATGTGACTTTGGTGAAAAACCACTAGAAGATAGGCTGAGCAAGTGTGGATTGCTAGCTTCAGCACTATAAAAGCTGCTTGTTTTGTTTTAGGCTTAATAATGTTGAAAATGTCTCATTTAGCTTCTGAGTGAGTAATGCCCCAGAGTACCCATGGGAAGGCCTTGTCCAGTTCCTCATTTTGCAAATCACTTGTATTAAATTAGTCTGTCAGATATTATATATTTTTATCTGTGTTTCTTTGAGTTTC